AGATAGATAGCATTTTTCATCATAAGTCCTTTGGAATTGTCTCAGATCATTGTATTGCTGAGAATACCTAATTCATTCACAGTGGATCATTGTATAATATTGCTCTTACTGTGTACAATGTTCTCCTGGTTCTGCTCACTTCACTTTCTATCAGTTCAAATAGATCTTTCCTGGTTTTTCTGAAACCAATGTCTTGATGATCTTAAAATAATGGAAAGAGAGAAGATGAAAAGGGAAATTACCTCACATAATTAGGGTGTATAAGTAGACATCTATACAAACAAGGAAGGGGTGGGCCGTTGACATTTGAACCTCACTCTCTTCTAAATTTATCAAAAGAAGGAAGATATCCATACACACCCAGTTGAGTACAGAAGTACAATTCTCTCAACAGTGAAATAGCAGGGTGAGGGGAGAATAAAGGAGGGGGAATTAGAGGGAGGATAGATTTAGGAGGATAGAAAGATTAATCCTAAGCAAAATAATAAGGATGTACAGAAAATTTAACAAAATAATAAGGATGTATGAAAATATAGCTCTTTTGAGGTAGCAAAAATGGCAATCTGAGAGGGTACCCACAAATTGGGGATGAATAATTTAAGTGTTAATAATAAATGTGTTGGGGCAACTAGATGATTGCATTTGGATTGGGTGCTGGGCTTGGAGTGAGGAAGAAATCTTCCTGAGTTCAAATCTGGTCTCAGACACTTGCTAACTGTGTGACCCTGGGTAAGTCACTTATCCCAGTTTTTTCAGTTTCCTCATCTGTAAAATGAGCTGGAGAATGAAATGGCAAACCACTCCAGGATCTTTGCCAAGAAAACCCCACATGGGGTCATGAAGAGTCAAACATAACTGAAAATGACCAAACAACAACAAGAATAAATGTGTTGAGGGGCAGCTAGGTGGCGCAGGGGATAAAGCACCGGCCCTGAAGTCAGGAGGACCTGAGTTCAAATCCAGCCTCAGACCAAACACTTACACTTACTAGCTGTGTGACCCTGAGCAAGTCACTTAACCCCAAATGCCTAAAAAGTTAAAAAAAAAAGAATTAATGTGTTAGAATACTGTTGTGCTGAACTCTGATCAGTATAATGATGAACCAGGATTCCAGAGGACTAATGATGAAACATACTACCCATCTCCTGATTGAAAGGTGAAGAGATATGCAGAATGAGACAAATATATTTTTGGACATAGCCCATGTGGAAATTTGCTTTGATTGACTATATGTGTTTTTAATGGGTTTTGTTTTTCTTGTGTTCTCAGTGGGGGAGGGGGAAATTGGAGTGAGAGAGTACAAGACAGATCTTGACTAATCAAAACAAATAAAATAGATATTTTTTAAAGTAAAGAGGAAGTGCTTTCCTGGCATGGGGGATGGCCAGTGCAAATGCATGGAGATGGGAGATGGTGTGCCATTTCTGAGCAACAGAAAGAAGGTAAATTTGACTAGACGATGGAGTTTGGGAAAGGAAATAATGTGTGAGTACTGTAATAAAGACAGGCTGTAGCCAAGTTGTAAAAGACTTTCAAAGCAAAACAGAGCTAATATCTTATTTTAAAGATAATAGGGGAACACTGGGGTTTATTGAGTAGAGGAGTGACATGGTCAGGTCTGTGCTCAAACCATAGACGTTGTCAGTTATATGGAGACAAATTGGTAGGGAGGAGACTTGAGGTAAGAAGACCAATTAGGAAGCCATTGCAGTAGTCCTGGTGAGAGGTGATGTGGGTCTAAAGAAAAGTAATGACTCTAGTGATAAGTTGAAAGAAGGCGTCGACTCAAAGGGATGCTTTGGAGATAGAAACAACAGAATTTGGCAACCAATGAGGAAGACTGAGGAGTACAGGATAACCCCAAGGTTTTGAATTTGGGAGACTAGAAGAATGGTGATATACTTGACAAAAATAGGGAAGTTTCATTGAGGGTAGGGTTTGGGAAGAAAGATGAGTTCTGGTCAGACTATTTCTAGAGTATTTTCATTTCTTACACCATGCTTTAGGAAAGACTAATAAACTAGAGTCCAAAAGGATAGTGACTAGGATAGCGAGAGGTCTGCAGGATGTGCCATACAAGGATCAGCTGAAGGCATTGAATATTAAAGAAGCCTAAGGGATGATATATGATAGCTAACCTCAAGTATCTGAAGATCTGTCTTACACATAAGGGAATAACTTGTTCTGCTTGATACCAGATGAATGAACTAGGAATGGTAAGTAAAAGTTACAAAGAGGCAGATTAATGTTTGAGGTAAGGAAAACCTTAATAATTAGAGCTTATCAAAAGTAGAACGAGCCACCTCTGGAGGCCAGAGGTTCTGTCACATTGGAGATGAGAGTGGAGTCTGGATGACTACTTGTTGCTGTTAGAGAGGGATTCTGAAGTATAGTGTTCTCTGAGGTTTTTCCAACTGTTAGATTCTGTGAGTCATCTATAAGATGAATACTTGGGCATGATACAGTAGAAAGAGCTCTGCATTTGAAGTTAGAGACCTGGGTTCAAACCCCAGCAACAATTTACTAGTTTTGTGACCATAGATAAGTCTCTGTAACTCTTTGAGCCTCCGTTTCTTCATCTATAAAAAAGGGTTAATAATTATAGGCACTAACTGCCTCACAGAGATATTGTGAGGAAAGTACTTTGTAAACTTATCAGGGTAATTCTTACTAGATGAATCCCAAAAGTCCTTTCAACTCTGAAATTCTATAATTCTATGTCTAAGCCCTATGTAAGTGACAGAATTTGAAACCAGCAAAAGCCTTTCCTATTTAGTCTATTTTCATATGCTAACTATGTCACAATACAGTGCCGGCAAAGATCACGCTAAAAAACCTCTACCTCACTCATTGAGTTGATTACTATGGCAATAGGACTTAAATTGAATTCTAATCTTAGCTCCAGTGAAACTTTTAAGATACATCCCTTTTTAACCTCTTCATTTCCCTCCCTGATTTCCATTGTCTCTTTCCCCATGTGCGTACATAAAAAGACAGATCTTGGGGGAGGGGATAATCAGAAGCAAACACTTCTGAGGAGGGACAGGGTCAAAAGAGAGAATAGAATAAACAGGGGGTGGGACAGGATGAAGGGAAATATAGTTAGTTTTCCATAGCATGACTACTCATGGAAGTATTTTGTATGACTACACAAGTATAACCTGTATGGAGTTGCTTGCCTTCTCAATGAGGGTGGGTGGGGAGGGAGGAAGGGAGATAATTTGGAACCCAAAGTTTTAAAAATAAATGTTAAAAAAATTGTTCTCACATGCAATTGGGAAATAAGATATACAGGCAATCGTATATAGAAATCTATCCTGCCCTACAGGAAAATAGAAAAGGAAGGGGATAAGAGAAAGGGGGAGGGGATAGAAGGCAGATTAGGGGAAGGGGTATTCAGAATGTACATTGTCTTGGGCTTGGGGGAGGGACAAGATGGGGAGAAAATTTGGAACCCAAAATCTTGTGGATGTGAATATTGAAAACTAAAAATAAATAAATTAATGAATCTTTTAAAAAAAATTGGAAGTCTTAATTCCTATAATGTGTGCAGAAAAAATACTGAGGTTTCTTTTTCAGGTATAGATCCATCCTTTCCCACAGATGCTGTTTCTAAACCTGGAATTCTCTTCCAGCCTTCTGGTTGGACATTCCTTTATATTTGTGTTGTTGAGTTGTTTCAATCATGTCCAACTCTTCATGACCCCATTTGAGGTTTTCTTGGCAAACATACTGGAGTGGTTTGCTGTTTCCTTCTCCAGTTCATTTTACAAATGAGAAAACTAAGATAAACAGGGTTAAGTGAAAGGGTCACACGGCCACTAAGTGTCTGAAGCCAAATTTGAACTCAGGAAGATGAGTCTTTCTGACTCCAGGCCCAGCACTCTATCCAATGTGCCACTTAACTGCCCCCTCCTTCATATTAGCTCCTTCTAAATAATGTTGAACCCAGACTCAAAGATCTTTGACCATCAGAAATTTGGTTTGAGCCTTATTCATCCCAGGAATTTTATTTCAAATCTGAAATGTCAATGACAAGCAGGACCTGACCCAAGCCTTAATTCAAATAATTCTTACAGTTTGCTGCTGCTCTACTGTTTCTATCACAACTCTGCTGCATTTATTGGAGCACTTTGCTGCCCACCCTTTCTATACAATCTGTAAGTCTGTATCAAAATATAAAACAAGCTCACATACACTCAACTCACCACGAACAGTAAGGGAATACCAAACTTGTCATTTATTTGTGATTTGGGGAAACCTAGACAGAGAACCATGAGAATCTTATAGTTCCCAGAGGATACTACTTATTTACCTTGCAGTTATATGGTTTAAATGAAAGAAGTCATATGATAACACTTTGAAAAATATTAAGTGTTATGTAACCATTAGGTGGCTTTTATGAAGTAAATACTTTTTTTGCAATTAAAAGGTAAAATTCCAGTTATACATACTAGGAATTATTTTTAGTTTCATGCTTCTCTTATTGTAGTAGTCTTCTTCATCACAACACAAAGACAAATGGATATTTGTATTTTTGTGCTTTTAAATTTATATTTTTAAATTTCTTTCAGATTCGAAGACTAGGTCTGAAATCAAGGAATCAGTTCCAAAACAGGAAGAAAGATCATCCCAGGGTATGTTAATGGAAAGACTCTCCAACAGTGTTCCCCAGGACTCTATGTTGGGAGAAGTCTGGAAATTGAAGGCCCAGTTTGAGAGTCAGGTGGGAAATCAGGGGAAATATCTGCAGAATATTACATTTTCCCACATCAAAACATCTACTGAAGAAAAAGGGTCAGAATCCAATCACAGTGGGAAAAAACTCAATCTGAGGCCAATTCTTGTCACACAACAGAGTGTTCCTTCGGAGGAGAGATTATATAAATGTGATGCACATGAAAAGAGCTTCAAACAAAATGCATGTCTGACTATTCACCAGCAAATCCATGAGGGGAAGAAACCTTGTAAATGTAACGAATGTGAAAAAACTTTTAGAGGTCACACATCCCTTATTCAGCATCAAAGAATTCATAATGGGGAGAAGCCCTATGAATGTAATGAATGTGGAAAAGCTTTTAGCCAGAGTGCACACCTCACAAATCATCAGAAAACTCATACAGGGGAGAAATCTTTTAAATGTAATGAATGTGATAAAGCATTCAGTTATTGCTCAGCCCTTATTCAACATCAGAGAATACATAGTGGGGAGAAACCTTTTGAATGTAGTGAGTGTGGGAAAACCTTTAGTCGGAGTACATACCTTACTCAACACCAGAGAATTCACACTGGAGAGAAACCCTATAAATGTAGTGAATGTGGAAAAGCCTTTAGCCAGAGCACACATCTTACTCTGCACGAGAGAATTCACACTGGAGAGAAACCCTATAAATGTAATGAATGTGGGAAAACCTTCAGCCAGAGTGCACACCTTACTCAACATCAGAGAATTCATACTGGAGAGAAACCCTATGAATGTAATGAATGTGGGAGAGCCTTTAGTGACCACTCAGCTCTCATTCGACATCATATAATTCATAGTGGAGAGAAACCCTATGAGTGTAATCAATGTGGAAAAGCCTTCAGTTACTGCTCAGACCTCATCCAGCATCAGAAAACTCATACTGGAGAGAAACCCTATAAATGTAATGTTTGTGGCAATGCTTTTAGTGACTGTTCAGCACTTGTTCAGCATCAGAGAACTCACACTGGAGAGAAACCCTATGAATGTAATAGCTGTTGGAAAGCCTTTAGTAATTACTCAGCCCTAATTCGACATAATATAGTTCATACTGGAGAGAAACCCTATGAATGCAGTGAATGTGGAAAAGCCTTTAGCCGGAGTACATACCTTACTCAACATCAGCGAGTACATACAGGGGAGAAGCCTTTTGAATGTAATGAATGTGGGAAAGCTTTCAGTCAGAGTGCATTTCTTACTCAACACCAAAGAATTCACACTGGTGAGAAACCCTACACATGCAATGAGTGTGGAAAAGCTTTCAGTGATCACTCAGGCCGGATTCAGCATCAGAGAACTCACACTGGAGAGAAACCCTACTCATGTAATGAATGTGGGAAAGCCTTTAGTTATTGTTCAGCTCTTATTCAACATAAAAGGATTCATACTGGTGAAAAACCTTATGAATGTAATGACTGTGGAAAAGCCTTCAGTGACCGCTCAGCACTCATTCAACATCAGAGAACTCATACAGGAGAGAAACCCTACAAATGTAATGTATGTGGAAAGGCCTTCAGCCAGAGTACAAATATGACAAACCATCAGAAAACTCACACTGGAGAGAAACCCTATAAATGTAATAAATGTGGAAAAGCTTTTGGATACTGCTCAGGTCTTATTCAACATCAGATAATACATACTGGAGAGAAACCCTATGAATGCAGTGAATGTGGTAAAGCTTTCTCTCGAACCACAGACCTTATAAAGCATCAGAAAATTCATACTGGAGAAAAACCTCATATATGCAATGACTGTGGAAAGGCCTTCGGCCAAAACACATACCTTACCAAGCATCAGAAAACTCACTGGAGAGAAACCTTGTAAGCACAATGAATGTAAGAAATCACTCAGTCAAACTGCTTCCATATATGCCTAGATCTTTTGATGTTGTTCAGTTGTGTCTGACTCTTCATGACTTTATGGACCATAACATGCCAGGCCCTTCTATCTTCCGCTATCTCTTGAAGTCTGTCCGAGTTCATGTTTGTTGTTTCTATGATACTATATCCATCTCATTATCTGCCATTCCCTTTTTCTTCTGCCTTCAATCCTTCCAAAATAAGGGTCTTTTCCAATGAGTTCCATCTTCTCATTATGTGACTAAAGTATTTAAGCTTCAGCTTCAGTATTTGACTTTCCAATGAACAACTTGAATTAATTTCTTTAAGTATTGACTGACTTGGCCTCCTTACTGCCCAAAGGACTCTTAAAAGTCTTCTCCAGCACCACAGTTTGTAAGTGGCAATTCTATGGTGTTCGGCTTTCCTTATAGTCCAATTCTCACAGCCATGCATTGCTACTGGAAAAAAACATTGCTTTGACTAATACAGACCTTTGTCGGCAAGGTGATGTCTCTGCTTTTTAGTATGCTGTCCAGATTTGCCATAGCTTTTCTTCCAAGGAGCAAGTGTTTTTTTTTAATTTCATGGCTGCAGTCACCATCTTGCAGTGATCTGCTCAAGAATATAAAATCTGATACTGCTTCCATTTCTTCTCCCTCTATTTGCCAGGAAGTGATGGGACCGTTTACTAAGATTTTAGTTTTTTTGATGTTAAGCTTCAAGCCAGCTTTCATACTCTTCTGTTTCATCCTTATCAAGAGGCTTCTTAATTCCTCTTCACTTTCTAGACTTGGATATAAAGCTATAGATATATGTAGATTCATCATTAGTCTGACTTTCTTACCTACACAGGGATGATAATTATCTGTAGACTTCCACTCATTAGCCTATGGAAACTATGACTCTATTAGCAGATAGTCTCTCAAAGGACATCTACCTTACTATATTTATACATCAAGCTTAGAAGACCTTATCAGTGACATTCCAGTCCACAAGATCTGAAGGCAGCAGAAGATTCATTAATCCCTTAAGCTAACAAGTTTTTCCTTTATGGAATAATCACTGGATTGGGCATGAGAACTTAGAATGTGTATCTGTAGACTTAGAATTCAGAGCACGAAAGAAATTGAAGGACCAGTGAACCACAAAGGAAAGAATGTAGATTTGATTGGTGCTGAATGCAGACACTTGGAAAATATACATATATGGAATATGTAGGGTACACCCCTCTCATTCATGAGCCCTCCAAATAAACTAATCGGGGTTCAAGATACTCTTTGGAGTCACATTACTCAGAAATCCTGCATCTATAGCTATAGCTATATCTATATATACACATATATACATGTGTATATATGTATATGTGTTCATATGTGTGTATACACATACATACATACCTATTTTTAAAACTTTCACACCAGGGTGTGGGGGAAGGGAGGGAGATACTTGAAATGTTTTCATATAAATGGTTGGAATATTTATCCCCTAGGAAGAGCAGAGGGAAGATCCTAAGAGCTCTGTTCACTACCTTGATAGGCAATCTTATGTAGTGATGAAACTAATCTCTTGAAGGGCAGAAGATCTGGGTTCCAATTCTAGCTCTACTACTATTGTAACCTTGGGCAAATCACATAACTACTTTGTGCTTCCATTCCTTCATCTGCAAAATGAATGGATTGAATCTCCGAAGTCCTGTAGAGTTCTGTAGAATTGCTATTCATAGCTCTCTGGATCTGTGGATCCATGAATTATGGTTATCATTTGCACCAAGCCAAGCTAGTCAGGAGATAAAGATATTCGTTCAGTAGAGATAATGCAATGCAATAAAAAGAACTCTGAGCAGGAGAGTCCTCTGTTTGAATCCAATATTTGACACTTTCTAGCTGTAAGACTGTAGATAAATCATTTTAAGCTCTTTGAACCTCAGTTTCCCCACATGTAAAATGTATATGTAGCACCTGCCTTGCAGGTTTATTTGTGAGTATCAAGTAAGATAATATATGGAAATCTTAGCTTTGTAAATAGTAAGTAGACTGTAATAGCTATTATTACTAATTGTTGGGTTATAATGCACATGGTCATGTACAGTTTTATACCTGACAAAATACTCCAAAACTTAAAATATCCTGTTGAAGTCTTGTGTGTGAACTACAAATTTTTAAAATAAATTTAAGTAATATATTCTAGACATTGAATAATTATTCACTGGGAATGTTGAAATGAAATTTTGATTTGGAGTGCATATGAAACGTATAGACAAAAGGAGTGAATGGAAGTTAGGACAAAGAATAAGTGACCTAGAGTAAATATAGATTCACTTTGCAAACAACAATAGATTGTCTAACAGGTCAAGACTGGACAACACTGGCCACCATCTTGTCTACTATGGAAAGCACCTGAATACATGAATTGGAAAGGTTGCCAATGAGAATAAGAAGTTGGAAAGTATGTTAATATGAACCTCACAAAGGATATTTTTAAAAACGTGATATGGAATAAAATTGTATATTCATTATCTGACTCTTTCCTATATACACAGCAGAAATAGTCATCTATAGACTTCTGCTCACTGACCTGTGAAAACCATGCATCTACTAGAAAATGCACCCTCCTAGAGAAGCTCTCTTCTATGTTTATATGTCAAACTTAAAGAACCCTAGCAGTGACATTCAAGTCTGTGAGGTCAGAAGGCAGTGAGGATTCATTCACCCTTTAAGCTAATGATGAAAAATCACCGGATTGGGTATGAGAACTTAGAATGTGTATCTGTAGATTCAGAAAAGCAGGGAAGAAATTGAAGAGCCAGTGAACTACAAAAGAAAGAATGAAGATTTGATTGGTACTGAATGCAGACACTTGGAAAATATACATGTATAGAATACCTGGGGCATCCTCTCATACATGGGCCCTTCAAATTATCTACTTCAAGTTCAAGATAGTGTGTGGGGTCACATCTACCTAAAACACATAGCTCCCAAGCTCCTACCAATATGATTAATTTGACTATAGTCAGCCAAAGGCCACAATTAGTTCAAAGCAATAGCATTAATGATACAACATAGTAAGAAAAATGGTAATAAAACATTTCCCCTCATAAGCCTGGTGTACACTCTTCCATAAATATGTGTAGTCTTTGCTAGGCATTGCTCTGTGCTGGTCTCATACTTTTTGAATGATATGTCATTGGTCTCATGGTCATGTGCATGGGTCTTAGTGTAACCAAGCTTTTTTTTTGTTGCCAGCTTCTGGGTTCCAACTCATCAGGGTGCTTTTTACCTACTTGGTATGCTGACTAATAGGATTCAGTAACTAAACAGCCTCTCTGATAAGGGCAGGCTTACAGCTCTTATGTTCAGTCATTTCAGTTGTGTCCGACTCTTTGTGACCCCATTTGGGGTTTTCTTGGCAAAGATACTAGAGTGACTTGCCATTTCCTTCTCCATCTTATTTTATAGATGAGGCACTGAGGCAAACAGGGTTAATGACTTGCCCCTCACCCTCCCTATTTGCAATGCTCTTCAATGACTCAGCCATGATGTGAGCCCCAAAGCCATCTCATCTCATCCCAGTGAACAGCTATGCCAAATTTTAGAGGCAGGCCTAACACCAGCACTCCTTTAGTTCAGGTTTGATGTTGGGATGAAATGAGGCATTCACAGATCTATGAAAAGTTAACAAAAGGAGGTTTAATTTGCCCTAACACATAAAGGGTATGCAACAAAGGTACCGTGGCTTTATTTAGCTGCTCTGGACGTAGCCCTATAAACTCATTTCCATATGGAATTGCTTCAAGTTAAGTGAACAGGATATAAAGGCTTCAGAAATTTAGAAGGGCCCTAATTTCACATGAATAGGACTTTCCTTATGCCCTTAAGTGATTAGGAAGCTAAAGCCAAGTTAGGTAGGGGCAAATCATGTCCTAGGGACAGCTTTGTTACCTTTTAGGGAAAGTTAATTCCTATTGCAGAAAAATAGGGAACCCTGGTCCAATCATACATGCAACCAGTGGTATTTTTTCTGCCTGGCATTTTTCTTTACTTTCTGCCACTAGGAGAGCATATGTAAAAATCCAAAGCTCATCTGTTCTTTAGAGTTTGCTTACATTTATTTGATTCATATTAATGTTGGCTAGATGAAATGATCAATCATAGCTACTTCCAATCTGTGTTTCATTATTTGTCATAGGGAATTTCAAAGAGACAAAGGCAGTGATAATTTACAAGTTGTACAAATGAAAATGAAAGGGGACAGAAAGCTAAATAGATGAGATTCTTGCTTCACTGGGGATTTCTGAACTATGTGAGAGAGCATCTTAATGATTTAAATATTTGTAAAAAAAACATCCCAAAGTAAGATAAAAGTGAAATCAAGGGTTTTCCCTTAGGTGAAAATGAGCTAATCACCATTGCTCTTTGGTGTTTTTGTTTGTCCTCTGTTCTAGGAGAGGACCAATGATATCATTAAGGTGATGTCTTGACTTAAGTGAATTGGATGGGAGAGCTATTTGAGGCTTAACTGCTTTAAATCATATTTGTCTTTCTCCTTATTTTCCCCTATAGTCATGCTCAGAGTACCTCTTTGTAGAATTACAGCCAACAACAGTGACTAGAAAGGAGGTCATTGCCCTTGGAAGAAGGGGAGTGGCTAGAAAAGGCTGGTGATGAGGCACATTGCAAGGGTGGATGATCAGAGAAGAGGGATTGAGGATCTCTTCCTTTGGTAGTACAGCAAGTAAAATTTTCTACCTTATACAATCAGCCCTCACAGACACCTGGATATATGACTTTCTTCTTCATGAGTAAGTAAGTCTATCATCACAATGGGGCAGCTCATCTATCCGCTGTGGATTTTTGTAAAAGTGAAAAACCAATCTTGGCTTGATTGACCTCAATTCAGGCACCATAAGCAGGAGAACTAACCAGTCAGGAGACAGTAAATAGGCCTTTTCTCTGATGTCTAAATTGGAGAACCATCTTCAATAGGTCACAATAGCTTATAAACATGTTTACATAGGAATATGGTTTACAGTATGTTTATATAAGAGAACAGGGGTCAAAGAAGTGGGTA